CATAATAAAATCTCTCTGTAAAAGGTTTTGTACACTACAGACTCCTTTTGTTAAGAGAAACTATCCTCCTTCCCAGTTTTTGTGGTGTTTCAAACACTAAACTATGTTTCCAAGGGCAGTAGTTGAAATCTTGAGAATGCCGCATTTTAACAGGTACCAGCACCCTACCTTTCATCTTGCTCAGGAGGGACAGCATCGTATGAAGACAGCAGACAGACTGCGGTTTATCCAAAATATCTTTTTCCTTAGAAAGCCAAACACTCAGGAGCAGAGACTGAAATCAAATTTAAATCTTTTTCAGTCTAAAAAGTATTTAACATAGACAAAACCTAGCAGTTTTCTAGGCAGTGCTTGTGTGCATACAGATGATACAGCTTTTTGAGTTGTTGAATCATGTTAACATGAGGGGCAGAATGTACCTTGTTTACGTAAAAGATTCTTTATTACCTGTTGGATATCTAAATTCCACCATTTCCATCTCTTCTTTGGGTTAAGCACTGCCTTCCAATTCAAACCTCTATTAAGGAGCATATTACCAGAAAGGACACTACTATGTGAGCTTGAATTTGCTGAAAGTAAGCAAGGTGCCACTCTGCTCTCTTTTGATTGGGGTGGATGGCGGGAGAACCTGGAGCTGTTGGTCTTACCCTTGCCTGGGCTGTACAAAAGCATCGCAGACTTGGCAGTGGGGGACAATCACATAAAACTACCAAATTCCAATTGTTAAATCACCAACAAGTTATGAATAACAGATTTTAAACAACACTTAAGTCAACATAAGTGACTTTTAAGATGCCTATGAACCAGCATATGTACTTAAATTTGAAACATTTTTAAGATTTATAAAATTGTTCACAGATGATTCTGCCATAACGAAGTTTAATGGCATGATACCACATCTATTAGTATAACTACTGGTATCTGTGAAAGGCCTTAACGCCTTACAATACTGCAGTACCTTTATGTGAAAAATAGCTCTAAAATATTAATAAAAAATTGACTTGTCAGTTTAAGTGTATTAGTTCAAATAATTTTCAAAAATTAGGGAGGGTAGGGAGTTGAAAGAGAAGTGTGTGAAGAAAATGAACTTATGAGGACAACATAGGAGCTATGATAAGTACCTGACATGCATATCGCCTCATCTGACCCTAACAACCTTTGTGACAGGGATGGTTATCCAGATTTCAGAAATGATGAAATTATCTCATAAAAGAAATATAACTTGCCCAGCACGATACAGTTAATGAGTTAGAACTAAAATCTGAAACCAGATCTGCCTGATTGTAGCATATTTTCTTTTCTCTTCCTTTAAAAATTTTCACATTATGAGTGTATACACATGTACATACAAATTTATATATGTAATTTGTACCCATAAGAAATCATACATAAATACACACAGTTTAACCTTCTATTTTTCCCCTTGTTTTGTCTAACTTCCAAGTCTCTCCCCGTGCCAGCCCCCTATCTCACGCCACATAGAAACCTTTTTATTAAACAACCAAATATGCCCATATTTTCATATTTTCCTCCATGCTCATAAAATAATGACAATGTTAACAATAAATGCTGATGGTTATATAAAGCTTACTATGTGCTAAGCCATTAAAGGCTTTATATGTACAGCTACATACAGAGTATTCTGGAGGGAGGATGGGGGAATCACTGTCTTACAACAATGGTGTATCATCTTATACCATGTTTACTCCACTTGCCACCCAACATTCTGTTTAATCCATAAAATTCTGAATAACCTTTCTCCATTTATTAAGGGAATTCCCTCTCTTCTAGACTTCCTCTTCACCTCATAACCTGCTGCTTATCATGACTAGACAGGCTACAAAATTGATTGCCTATATAGGTAACAAAGACATTCTATTAATATAATCAATAAAAAATAGCTTTTGCTGTTTTGTATGCACATGTGCTGGGAAGCAAATCAAATGGAAATGTGGAGGGGAGGGAAGGTAGAATTTATCTTCTCTTTTAGGCTCTCTGCTACATTGCCACTAGACTTGTTCTGATTAATTTACATACAAAAAGTATGACTAGGGCTCATTACTAAGGCACGCTGGGTTTCTAAATATAACTGTAGAGTTAATGTCTCTCAAAACTTGGATGACATGCCCCCCAGCAATAAAGTTTCAAAATGCTCATCAAAATTGGCAACTCAGAAGGTTATTTTAGATTAAGGCAACCAAACAAACTAAATGCCACGCCTAGAACCTTGCCGCATACTATGAACCCTTCTACTTTTTTCTCCAACTAATCACTCCTCTATCCACCACCACCTTTAGCGAATTCTGAAAAAAATGAAAAACTTGTTCTGCTTAACTTTCCTTCATGTCTCTCCCTAGGCCGGCTCCTATCTCCTGCCCAGCCAGGTAATTTCTCTTTATGACCTAGAATGTGTTTTTCTTGTTTTTTTATAAATTTTTAAAACTCCAAACAGGTAAGGTTTTGTTTGTATGTAGAAGATCAGTGTGAAATAGAGGATGCAAAGGGAACCATCAGAACATGATGATTTAATTTTAGAATCAACTGTAAGCAATATAAAGATATTTTAAACCTCAGGGAAAATTAAGGTTGTAGAAGAAAAATAATCAAAGAAGAGAATACAGAGATAAATTAAGCTACCACATAAAAACATACACATGGACACATACAACAGGAAAAAACAGTTATAAAGGTAACTATATCCATAATAAAAAAATAAGATATCCTTTCAAACTGTCACAATGAAAAATGTCAAATCACGTTGTTCATAATATAAACATTCATATTGTGAATTCCCATATTATAAATGTGAATTATGTTATTTCATATATAAATACCAGGTATTGACATATTACCAGATGATATCTGAATAATAGACTTTGAATAATAGAAACCTTGAGGTCACCAAGATCGTAGCATAAAAGGTAACCCACTCATAACGAGAATTCTGCACCAATCCACAGTCAAAAATCTCTCTGCAGAAGCCTTGGGATTCAGGTAGGAGTTTGTGAAACCCCAGTGGATCCCCAAACCTAGGAGGCTCATTTTGAGACTGCAAACCCATACCCTGGTGGCTGATCTGTCCCACTGAGCTTGCTTTCAGGTCCAAGCCCAGAAATGGCCCAGTCCCCTCAAGGAGCTTGGCTACAGGCCCGTTTGACCTTGAGCCAACAACTAAAACCATCTGCCAAGGAGTCCAGAAGGAATTACGCGCACCAATGCCTTGGCAGAAAGGCTCACCCGCCCATTGACGTTGGTCTTGGCAGTGAAGCTGAAAGTTGCCCTGTGGCACTGATCCAACCTTCTTCAGCTGAGGTCCTGGCTCAGGGCTGCTTGCATCAAGACCCAGAGGGAGACTCACCCTACCTCGCAGACTGGGAGTCTGAGCCTCCCTGATGGACTCCTTAGACTCTGTCCCACAGTGGATCTCAAGGGGGACCAATCTCAGCTCTTGCCCCCTCACTGCAGTTGGGGAACTGTCATGTATGTGCTAACATGTACTGTGAGACACGTACCTGTTGGGCTAACGAAACAGGCTCTTCAGCCTCTGTCCCACAGTGGATCCTGAGAGGACCCAGTCACGACTCCAGCCCCTCCTGCTAAAATTAGAGAACTACCCCATCTGTTCAACGACTTGCTGGGAGATAGATGCACACCCCTCTGAGCCAATGTGACCGGGATCTCCAGCCTCAGCACCACAACAGATCCTGAGGGAACCCAGGCTCAGCTCTGGACCCTCTCACTGCAGTTGGGGAACTATTATGCCTGTGCTGACACCTATTGGGAGGTATGTACCTGTCTGGGCCAATAAGAAGGGCTCTCTAGCCTCAGCCTCACAGCAGCTCCTGGGAGGGGCCCAGTCTCAGCTCCAGCCCCTCCTACTGCAGCCGGGGAGCTATCCTATCTGTGCAGGAATTTGCTGGGAGAAGTGTGCCCATCTGAACCAGCATGATAGGCACACCAGCCTCCATCTTACAGCAGATCCCAAGTGGGTGCAGTTTCAGCTCCAACCCCTCCGGTTGCAGTTGAGGAACTACTTCCTTTGTGCAGGGACAAACTGGGTGATACATGCCTATCTGAGCCAATGAGACAGGCCCACCAGCCTCTTTCCCATAGCAGACACCACGAAGGGGTCCAGTCTTAACTCCAGAGCCTCTTGCTGCAGTCAGGGACTCATCCTGCCTGTGCAGAGATCTGTTGGGAGACACAACTGTCTGAGCCACTGAGACAGTCTTCTGGACTCAGGTCCCTGGCCAGTGTTCCCACATAGTCCCAGTACCCTCCTTGGGTCTTCTCCAGGTCCATCTGGGCAGGAAGGCCACATCAACCTTGCAGGCCTTGCAAGGCTTGTGGCAAGCCTGGGCTTAGAGCACCCTCTAGTGCTGAGATGGCTGCGGTGGTCACTGCCTCAGGGAACACAACAGTCAGTCAGTCAGCTTAGAATCCCTGGAAGGCCTTCTGAAGAAGCAGCACAAAGGCAGACTGTGAAGAATAAAATAACTACCTAATCATCAATGCACTGACATCATTGTACTTCCATGAGTATCAAGAATATTCAGGGAAATACGATCTCACCAAACAAAATAAGGTGCCAGAGACTGACCCTAAAGTGATGGAAATGTGTGATATCTTGGACAAAAATATTCAAAATAGCTGTTTTAAGGAGGCTCAATGAGCTTCAAAAAAAC